GTGGCAATTAAGACTACAACAATGGAGCAATTCTCCGCAGTCCTCTTGAGCCATTCTTTAGAATCCTCGCAAAGTCACTTGTTTTTTTCTTCAAAGAGCTTTTCTGCTGTCTGGCCTTTGTTGTTGAAGTGCTTGGTGAATATTCACACGCTGCAGGAAGAAAAAGTGCTTTTAAGTAATTTGTTCTTAGCTTGTGCAGCTTATTGGTAGGAAAATAGGTTTAATAGCTGCTCTGGAAATTGGCCCATTTGAAAGCATCGCTAAATAAAAGGAAATTGTTTCAGTTCATTAGCTAGGCAGTTCCTTCTGATTAGAATGCTTATAACTTTTTGGCTTTTACCTATTTATTGGGACCGAAAACCCAATGTTCCCAAGGTGCTATTAAGTAATACCAAATTAAGCAACTATAAGTTGCTCCAAGCTAACCATATCTAACATCAGGGATTGATGCTAATGATCCTATGCACAACAACTTCAAATCTTACAATTTTAGGCCTATTATATATATGCAAGAAAAATATAAATCCTCAATCAAATGAGGGGTCCATCCCCATGTAAAGGAGTGTGAAATGATTGCAAATTTCTCTTGACTGCTATGGCTACGACTTCTTTTGACAAATGAAGGAAAAGCACCGAAAGGAAGCCTGCATTGTTTGACAATGCAGTAAATTTTCAGCCGATCATCATAGAATTTTTAGCCACTCCTTACCTATAAATAAGGGATGGCTTAGCATCCTCAAAACTCACCAAGCAACAGAAAGAGATATGAGCTAGAGAGAGAGTCTTTCAAGCTTGAGAGAGAGAAAAAAAAAAATCTTTTGTGTAGAGAGTGAGTTTCTGTAGCGAGGGTGATACAAAAAGTGAGAATTTTTTTATGAATGAGTATCTCGGGTTGGTAAAAATATTCAAGACTCTTGTATAAAATTCTTTCCTATAGTGGTGATATTTTTCTTCTCTTAGTCCGTAGTTTTTCTCGATTTGGGTTTTTCATGTAAATCTTGGTATCCATATATTTTACTCTTTCTTAAATTTACTGTGAGTGTATTTTTATTCTGTGAGTGTGCTGGTCCCAACAAGTGGTATCAAATAACGCGAGCCCTAAAAAGTGGTATCAAAGCATCACGAATCCTAACAAGTGGTATCAAAGCCAAGGCTAGTATTGTCCCTACAGATATATGTACATGGTACTGTTCATACATACGTGTATTGTTCAGACATATATGATACTGTTCATACATGCTTATACTATTCATATATATAGTGGTACTGTTTATATATATGGTACTATACACGAGAGGGCACTATCCATAGTAAATTTTGTGAAAATGTCAGGAGTAAAAGATGAAGTGGAAAAATTCAATAGTGAAAATAGATTTTTCACATGGCAAAGAAGGGAAGGATTGGGGGAATCCAACTTCTTTTGGGACTTCTATGAGTGGGGAAGTCTGAGAAGAGGTGGTTGAGCAGATGACCCATGAGTTGGGTGGCCACTAGGATAAAAGGACTAAGGGTTCTAGTCCTGTTTCGAAAGCAAGCAGATTGTTGATTGGGACAAGATAGTTGCTTGGTAGAGGAGAGCTTGATCAAGGTTAGGGAAGACTAGCAAGGGACACAAGAGTTCTTGAAGCTTGCAGAGCTAAAAAAGGGGGATCAAACCTTCTGACCCTATGCCTTGTGTTGGCGGGGTAGTAGGTCAAGTGTTTAGCCAAACTAGAGGAGTCAGCTAGGCGGTGAATCAAAGAAAGACTTTGTGGGAGGCAAAGTTAAGATGCCAAGTGGTCGAGGTCCTACCTCTTGCACTAGGATGAAGAGCTGCGACAGAAGTCAGTTAGCAATAGGTAAAGGGGCTTTGAATACACAACAAAGCTGTTCAGCAGAAGACTTGGTTTCCAATGAAATGGACCAAGCAGAAGTAATTTTGTTGCTGGTTAGGCCAAGGAGTTGGCCTTGACTTTAGAAGAAAGCTAGTAAGAGGAAGCAAGGATGGCATTAGTTAGGGGAACCTAGGAGTCAAGCAAACCCAAGGACCGAGCATAGGTTCTGCTCGGGGAGTCACCAATCGAGAACAAGGTTGAGGATTGAGTTACGGATAAGGATGGGAGATCCTTGGAAGCTCGCGAGGAGCAGTAGGCCAAAGGTAGTGTGCTAATGGCTGAGAAAGAGTTTGGAGTGACAAACAGTCTCCAGATTGGTGTGCCGACATTGGCTAGAGTGTATTGGTCAAGGGGAATGTTAGGCACAAGGTGACTAGGACCAAAGACATTGGTTTTAGGATGGACATGGCTCATAAGGTTCAGGAGCATAAGAAGCAACTGTAAGGAGAGCAGCCCACCCTAGTAGATGAGAGCGATTTCCTCCAAAAAGCATGGGTCTGGGGGGGGGAGAGATTTGTTGGGTCCATCCCCATGTAAAGGAGTGTGAAAGGATTGCAAATTTCTCTTGGCTGCTACGGCTGTGGCTTTTTTTGACAAATAAAGGAAAAACACCAAAAGGGAGCCTGCATTATTTGACAATGCAACAAAATTTCAGCCGATCATCATGGAATTTTTAGCCACTCCTCACCTATAAATAAGGGATGGCTTAGCATCCTCAAAACACATCAAGAACAGAAAGAGATGTGAGCTAGAGAGAGAGTCTCTTAAGCTTGAGAGAGAGAGAGAGAGAAAGAGAAAAATTCTCTTGTATAGAGAATGAGTTTATTATAATGAGGGTGATAGAAAAGTGAGAATTTTTTTGTGAATGAGTATCTCGAGTTGGTAAAAAAACTCGAGAGTCCTGTATAAAATTCCTTTTTATAGTGGTGATATTTTTCTCCTCTTGCCCATGATTTTCCCAATTTAGATTTTTCACGTAAATCTTGATGTCCATATATTTTACTCCTTCCTAAATTTACTGTGAGTGTATTTTTCTTTTGTGGATGCGCTGGTCCCAAGAAGCGGTATAAGAGAATGCGGGCCCTAACATCAAAAGCATATCAAGTTTGGGATTTCAACTCAAACCAAAGGAAGCTGCTTATGAGTATCAAGCAAGTTAAACAACTTAAGTGGTTCCAAACTGTTGGACAATGATCCTAACATCGAGGAAGGTAGAAATGAGATCTGCCCATGTCCCAACAACTTGGAACTTCAACAATTTCAAGACTTATTTGCATGAAAGAAGAAAATTCTTAATGAGAAGTGAATGAATAGCGCTAATTCACCTCAAGCAAGAGTAAGTCTTCACGAAAAAGTAAGGCAAGACTTCTTAAGTCTTTACCAGCATTCTCATCGGCCATGATCCCAACCATATGAAGCACTAAATTCGCATCATTGGTGGTCTTTCTAATAAGCCTCATCATCGAAATTTCCAGCTTCTTCACAAAATTGAAAATATGAATTTGGTGGTACTTGATGACCATGTGCAATATATTCCTTGTTTCATCGTCTGTATGCTCAACTGTCTGAGGGTACATTTTGAGTATTTCCCCAACAATCTCGAGAATGCCCGACTTGGTGGCCATAAATCTTAGAATTGAAAATAGCAAAATGATATTGACAAAGCAGAATTTTCAAAATTTTCAATGTTTTATGCTTCGAAAACACAGAAAATGAACACTGAGAGTAGAAAAGATCACCCATCTAAAAAGATTTGAGAAAACATTAAGCTTGTGCTTCCAGATTCCAGGTGTGTTCATGGTTGAGTTTGGTTCAATTTGATGTTTAGATTTAAACTAAAGTATTTTATGGTTTGTGATTTTTACAAATCAAATTTGATCATAATTTAGAGTTTAGTGCGGTTTTAAACTCGCTTGTGATTTATAAAAAGAAATATATTAAATTCACTAATATTATAAAAATTTTAACAGAATTTTCCTAAAAATTAGTTTTTCATTTTTTTAACTTATTTAACTTAACAAATTCATTATTTATCAATTAAGTATCGTGATTATACATTATATAGTAAATATATTTATATAATATTATACAACTTCACTTATACTAATAGAAATCATACTTTAGAAAAAAAAAATTAATTTTTACAACGCATATAAATATAAAAGATAACAAAAAGAAAAAATATATATTCAAATAATAAGAATATATTACATATATAGAGATATAATTTTTAATATTATATATATATATATAAACTGCATGATTTAGTTCTGTTTATACTGTTTGTTTAAACGTCAAATATCATATTAAATCATATAAAATAATCCTATTCTGAACTGAACCGAACCAAACCATGATTTTAGCAGTCTAAATAGCTTGGTTTGATTTATTGAATACTCTTAACAGATTTCATCTTATCAACAATAATTTTGCTTATTTTCTTTTTAAAAATTGTGAATCATTACTTGGGGGTGCTTAGTTTAGCAATGAAAGCAGGGTGTTTTACATTTGACATTTGATGAATTTGTATAAGGTACAAAATGAGCAGCTGTCATATTTTTTTATTGATTTTTATGGACGCCAAGTCGGAGTTGCGCAAAGGTGTATGACTTCAAGAAAGGTATGCTATTCTCTCAAAGGAGGCACATTCTTCGATTTTTTTTTTTCTCAAAAGCTACTATAAAAGATAATTATAACAATTATACAAACTACCAAAATCCCACATACCTTTCATACTTTATAATAATCTCAAAATTCGCTTTTACATGGATATTAACAAGTAAAAAGGAGAGAACACAAATCACTTGATATTGAATCTCACTTCACACCTTTGATCTTAAAAAGCTAAGAAGTTCTATCAGATAATACTTAAAATGAGGTTAAGTTCACTTCATCCTTCATACAGCAGAATGAGAAGCTTGAGGTGTAGAAGTCCTTTTGAAGGGATCTGAGGGGGTGTTTTGCTTGGCAGTCCTAGACCAAAGAACGGAGCAATTGAACCGAGGAAAGGCCTCACCAATTTTCTTTAGTGGATAGATAAAAGTTTTAACTAATTCTATGTAAAGGGGCATGTACGAGAGAGCAAAGATGGAAACAGGGAAAAATGCCACGGAATACAAAGCAATTCTAGTCCATTGCTCCTTGTTCTGAATCAGAAGTATCACAGTGGCTGCAAAAGACACCATCATCATTGAAACTGACAGAATCAAAAGTGTTACCCCACCCATGAGCTTTCGTGGGAGAGACTGCTTGAAGTCCTCCATTCGAAAAGATGAAGTAAGAATGGAGAGGAATGTGATGACTGAGGTCAAGGCAAAAGTGAGGGAGAGCACATCGGTAATGGTGAAAAATTACAAAAAATGACTGGTTACGGAGGAGAGGGTAGCCCGTGTTCTGGTTCGGGCCACCTGGCACCGTGTAGGCAGCTGCAAAGGCAACAGTGGCAATTAAGACTGCCACGATGGAGCAGTTCTCTGCGGTCCTTTTGAGCCAGTCTTTGGCATCCTCACGAAGTTTTGTGTTGTTTTTTCGAAGAGCTTTTCTGCTGTCTGGCCTTCGTTGTTGAAGTGCTTGGTCAAATGGGCTGCAGATATTTTCTTCACACGCTGCAGGAAAAACAAAAAAAGTGCTTTTAAGTAACTTTTCCTTGGCCTCTGTAGTTTATCGGCCCATTTAAATGCAAATGCTTACAAGCTTCACTAAATCAAAGAAATTGTTTCAGTTCACTAGTTAGACAGTTCCTTAGTGATTAGAATGCTTATGACTTTTTGGCTTGCACTTATTGGGAGTAAAAACCCAATGTTCCCAAGGTGCTTATAAGTAAAACCAATTTAGGTAATTTTAAGTTGCTCCAAGCTGACCATAATTCTAATATCAAGGGATCGATGCTAATTATCCTCTGCCCAACTGTTTCGAATCTCACAATTTTAGGCCTACTATATATGCAAGAAATATGCAAATCCTCAATCAAAAGCAAATCAAGACTGGGATTTCAACTCAGACAGAGCAAATCCAAGAAGTACAAGCCAAAGGAACGTGCATATGACCATCAGGCAAATTAAACAACTAAAGGGGTTCCAAACTGTTGGACAATGATTCCAACATTGAGGAAAGTAGAAATTGGACGTGCTCACGTCGCAATAGCTTGGAACTTCAACAATTTCAAGACATATTTGCAAAGAAAGAAGAAAGTTCTGAAAAGAGACGTGAATGAAGACCTAAAATTAAATAAAGAAACCGGAAATTCACCTCAAAAAAGAGCAAGTCCTCACGCAAAAGCAAGGCAGGACTTCTGAAGTCTTTGTCAGCATTATCATCGGCCTTGACCCCAACCATGTGAAGCACTGAATTCCCATTATTGGTGATCTTTCTAACAAGCCTCATCATTGGTATTTCCAGCTTCACCACAAAATCAAAAATATGAATTTGGCGGTACTTGATGGCCACGTGCAATATATTTCTCCCTTCATCGTCTATATGCTCAACAGCCTGAGGGTACATGCTGAGTATTGCCTCAACAATCTCAAGAATGCCCGTCTTGGTGGCCAAAATCAGTGGTGTTTCAGCCACCTCTGCTTGTGTCTTAGTCTCTTGACCTGTGGGATCTTTTTGTTCAGTCTTAATTATTTCTTCTTTCTGAGAAGTTGAGGAGGTATCTACTCGAAAATTGTGGGTCTGCGGCTTGCTGTTGTCCACGTTAGGCTCAGTGGCCACCCAAGAGATGTCTCGTTCAATCAAGAACTTGGCAAGCTTGACTGCTGATTCGTATTTGTACTTCTTTCCCCGAATTGCTTCCCATAAAGGAACTCTACAAAATGTTTCGACTACTCAAGAGGCAAAACAAGAAAGGGTCAGAATTAGGTTGGGGATTCATGAAAAATAATGTAGTCTAAAATTGAAAGAAAGTGGGCGCATGGCTTGTTGGCCTTATTTTTGTTTGGCTTTGAAACCAAAAAACCGAAAAAGCCTAAATCCAATCGTGGGCTTTTTGGGCTAAATAGAAGTTAAGACCTTTCCTGGATTAGATATTCTACCTTCTTCCATCGGCGGTTCATCTTCAGTTGAGACACCTGAAAAGGCTCAAATATGTGAGTTACAAATTACCCTGAAAATTAGTGAAAAGCATGTTTAGATCGCCAAAAGAAGCTTATAGAACAAAGTTAATCATTATATGACGGAGCTAAATTCCGGGGAATCATACAAGAGTGGACACGCTTCTTCAGGTACCACTTCTTGCCTCCAAAGTTGAATGCTGAAGGATTGCAAGAAAGAAGTTGAAGAGCTGTCATCCGATCTCCATCCTTCCGGTCCACCAAGTATTCGTGCTCTCTCGCAATATGAAGGCCAAATCTGGCTCATGTTCGGAAGAATTAGCACGACATGTCTGTCTGAATTCGTGTTTTGTTTTTATTTTCTGTTATTATTTTCTATGTTCTTAGAAAGAGAGAAACTCTAAAAATCTAGGAACGTCAATTTCAGTTTTGGACAAAAATAGTTTTTTAGATTTTTGAAAACAACTTTTTGCTTTTTTGCAAAAAGGGATTTCTAAAAATTCTCCCAAAAAACAAATTTTGAAAACAACCTGTCACACAGGTTTTTGTCTCTGAAAATGGAACAGTTTCCAAAAAATTCCAAATAGAAAAAAAATCATGCATGTGTATACTCAGAAGGTACTCACCGAAATGCTCAGTGAGAACAGAAATGTGAAGAATGGTGGTCTCATCATTTCGTTGATAGAATTTCTCCCGCCTTTCTTCCAATACTCCTCCTTCACTAGCAAGACACTCATTGAATTTCTCATCAAGAAACTTGAACATTTGCATCTTCCCATATCGGGCTGCACGAAAAAGAGCATTCTCTCCCCTGAAGTCAGGGGTTGCAAGTTAATATAAATATAAATTAATTTAATACAAATACGATTGACCATTACATAGCTTATTTTTAATATTAATGAATAATTTATTGTTTAGAGAAGTTTTAACATGTTTTAATATATAATAAATTTAATTTAACACGAATTTCAATAAAAAAAACAATTGAAAATTACGAATTCCGATCCCATACATTAAATTTTTGAGTTCGAGTAACTCAGGCGCCCTGCGAAGCATCTCCCCTGCGGCGGGGACTAATCGGTTGGATGTGGCCGCCTCATGAAGAATGGTGTTTCCGGTGTCATTTTTTGTCGTCAGTTTGTTGGTTTTGGCCTCCGGCCACTGTCTGAGTAGATTCAATACCAAGTCCTTCTGTTTGGAGTAAGTAGCCATATGGAGGACCGTGTCTTCGTGTATGGTTAGTTTGTGCATTGGGCCTTCTAGGACTCGCTTGCACAGTTCAATCACCTTTTTTTTCATTTCCGCTCATCAGAGCCCTGTACAGGTCTCCGTCAAGGGCAATCATCTTGTTAAGAGCCACGGAGGGGGAGAGGGAGACGGAGAGGGAGAGGATAATAGGAAGGAGAAGGAACAATTATTTGGCGCTATAAATAGGCACTCAAGGGGGAAAGGTTGATTGAACAGCCACTGATGGTTCCTACCTGCAGAACTTTTAACTTTTTCTTAGGGGTGCATATGGTTAATTTCGGTCAATTTTTGGGTACATTTTGAAATAAATTAACTAAAATTTTCAGTTTTTTAAAAAATAATACCATCCAAACTGAGCACACAAAATATTTTAACCAAATTAAAAATTTTCTTTGCATTATATATATAAATGTAAATTAACTTATATAGTTATTTATTCAATCTGATTATAAGTTGCAGAATGTTGATGGTTTGATTTAATTTAGTTTAATATTTAAATTTAAATTAAATTTTATTTTTACGATTTATAATTTTTAAAAATCAAATTAAACCATGATTCATGATTCGGTTTAATTTCAAATCTTGATTTGTGATTTGTAAAAAAAAGGAATTTATTAAATTCATTATTTTTATAAAATATTTTGACAAAACTTTTCTAAAAATAGACATTCAAAAATTTTCTTTAATCTATTTGATTCAACAAATTTATTATCTATCAATTAATCATAATAATTACACATTATACAATAAATATATTTATATAATATAACGAAGTTTGAATCATATTAAAAGATTCACTCTCTTGGAAAAGGAAAGTAATAAGTTATTAAAATAAATATAAATATAAAAAAATGAACAATAAAAATAATTCATTCATATAAAAAATAATTTTAAATTTTATACAAATATGAATTATATAATTTTGTTAATTTTATATAATTTATTTAAAAATTAAATATCAAATCAAATTATATAAAAAATATATTTTTAAAATAAATTATATTAATTTAAATTTATTATAATTTTATATGTTTAAATAGTTTGTTACGATATATTAAACGAATAACCGAATGTAACCCAATAGCCTGGCGTGCTGGTCCGGTCGCTTCTACCGAAACAAACGAGTGAAAAAGTTGGGCACGATAGTCAAATATATGCCCATATAAGGCTTTATTTAATGCTGGGTGCCGGCCAGTAGCCTTTCATGGTGGGTCTGAATCTTTTCTACCAACTCTTGTTTTGTCTTAACTATCTGGCTCGGTGTTGCGTTTGGTACTCAGCATTTGCGGACACACTTTTCCAAGCTTCTTTTGTTTTCTGCTGCATGTAAAAAGTTGACGTTAAGGAGTGGATTGTTCTACTTTAAATTAAGCACTTTTTTAGAGTTTTTTACAAGTGAAAAAAAGTAGCACGTTAGGTTAATAAATCAAATATGTAAAAAATAAATTTTTTTATTTTATAAAAATAGAATTACTTTCCAAAAACAATGCCAGATTAAATTAGACACATCACCCGAAGGAAATGAAGTTCTTGATATAGTCCTCCAACTATTTATTTTTTGTTGCAACTCTAATATGTTATGAGAAGAATTTCAAAATCATCACTTAAGTTTTATTTACATTGTAAAATTATCCCTGAACTACTAAAGTTCAGTGATGATTTTGCTGAAATATTGAAATTTGAGGGATGTTTTTAAAATTCTCCCATTTGCCATGCCATTTCTTTGTTGCCTTCAAGTTCGTGTATGATTCATTCAAAATAATAAAAATAAAAAAAAGGCAAGAAACAAATAAAGGGCAGCATCTAGCAACTGGATTAAAGGGAAATTATATAAGAGAATCAAGTGCTAAACTTCCTGTTGAAGCATTTTATACTTCTCATCCTGCACAACGTAACACACGGCGCACGGCGCGATAGTTTGGGTACGTTTTTTACTTGTTTCAAAATTTTCAAAAACTAAAACCAAAATAAAACTGTTTGAAAGGTGTTTTCGCTCTTCAAAAGAATGATTGTCAAGGTGGAAATAAGCACAACTGCTTGCAAACTGCCCATGACTTAGCTTGGTTGAGCCTAGTTTGATTTGATTTGTTTAGTTGATTAAATCAAGGTCGTGTAAAAAAGAAATCTTATTTATAAACCATGCTTGACTTATTAAATTTTGCCTACCATGCTAGTTTTACAAGTTATTTTATATTATATACATGTATAATATAATATATAATATATCATATTTCATATGTGTAATATTTGATAATTTGTTATAAAATTCAGTGAAAAATAAATTTTATAAACTCATATAAGTTGAGACTTGCACAAGAATTTAACAGGTTTTAACTTGGCTTAATTAAAACTTTCTAAATTTTATTATTTTAACTTGATGGATTAATAAGTTAAGTTAGGTCTCAATAATTAAGTAAATAAATCAGACCCACTCTAATTTATTAATTTGTTACAGGTCACAAATCAAACTCAGGCCTATAAAATTTCTGAATTAGGTCTCGTGAGTTTAGCTTTTGTTTTCACTCCTAGAAGCATCAAGAGTTCATCCAACTGAGAATTTCTTTTTATTTTTCATATATTTTTAAAACAAATACAACAGATTATTGTTATTCAAAGCGTTTTCTATTTTTTTATTTTTACAAAACATAATTTCATTTTCATGAAACCAGAAAGCAGACAGACGCAGGATTAAAGTAAAATAATGTCACATAAGCCAAAGCAAAGAGCAGCCAGTATAAAAAATTATACTGACATTGTCTTGGAGTCCAATATCACCCAAACAGTATCGATTTTTCAAAAACAAAGATAATTGAGTTCTTCTCCATGTGACATTACAATGAATTTTTTATTTCTTAGAATTTTCAACGGTGGATGAAATAAAAAAATTTAATAAAACTTTTGGGTGCTGCAAACCGCATGCCATCTTGACTATGATTCACACGAAGTCTTTAATTAATACTAATGGATAATGTTGAGGCAATGCAGATTTACGTCTCTTCTTTTTTTATTTTTTTATTTAGAAGGGAGAAAAGGAAAGAGATAAAGAAATAAAAAAATGGAAAAGGAAAACTCAAGTGAGTGGTTGTTGGCCATTGTTACAGTGTGGCTGGAATGTCATCAGTAGCTGTGAAAAGACTTTCCTGTATGAACACATGTAAGGCTTTTCCTTTTAGTTTAAATACTCAATGGTTAACTGTCTCCGCTCACAATTGTTCCCGATTGTGTCATAAAATTTTCACACTCGGCTTTATCTTCAGAGATTTTGAAAAGTTCAGAGAAAATAAAATATTAATTTATCGTGCTTTAATAATTTATAAATCAAAATTATTGAAATTATTATATTTAATAATAAAAACTATAATTAGAAAGATAAAGGTTGAAATTTCTTGGAAGAAGATTTTAAACCACCCAAAATATTAATCATAAAACTTTTGAGTTTATTTTAATAAAATTTCCTCATATTTTTTATTTTTTATTATTTCTCAATGATTTAGATATATATATTTTTTATTTTACTTTTTAAAAAATAATTTTTTAAATATAACCAAAATATTCCTCGTTATAAAGAAAAAAATAGAAAGAAAAATTATATGATGACTAAATTTTTTATAACATATTAAAAGAATCTATAATCCATAATCGTTAAAAAAAAGTCTAAGCCAAATACTTCCTTCCTAAGAGAGAGAGAGAGAGGAGAGCCTGCAGAGAAAGATAGAGAAGGAGCTTTTTTCCACTGCTCATTAAGGAGAAGGCGTGCAGACTAGTCCTGTTCACGGTTTCAGTTCGGACTGTGAATCAGTCCAGACCGGACCAAAAAAAATCAAACCGAACCGGACCGGTAATATCTGGTCCAGTTTTGAACTATGAAAGTTCGCCATCCGGTTAAGGTTTAAGTTTTTTTTTTGAACCTGAACTAGAACTACACTAGAACCGTGAAGGAATCGGTGAATCAAAATTAGGAATGAACCAAAACCGTGAATGAATTGGTG